GCTTCTGACAAACTGCACCTTTAACACAACTCTCCTCACTGGGTCAGAAACCAAAACCATAAACAATGGTTCTCATGCTCCCCACCTATCAGCACCCTCCAGCAGCAACAACAGTGTCTTTTCCATGCCACCTCCTTTGCTCTTAGAGCAGCCATCTTGTTTGCTGGATATTTTGTAAAAAGCATCTTTCATGAAGGATCACACATTGGTGCGAAACACATTTTAGTCTCTTGATTGTCTCTCTGTCTTCTTTTATTGTGTTCACTTCCCAATGGCTCACCACCACCAGACCCAGAGAGAACGTTGCCATGCTGCTGATCACATCCTGAGGGACAAGGTGCAAGTTTTTGCCACAGGACAGGGCCCCTTCCCACCCCAAATGGCAGCCCCTTCTATTAAAAACAAATGAACCCACAGTGCTGAAAATCTGCTAGAGCAACTTGAACGGGGTGGAAGGGGGTGCAGGCAGGGCTCCTGCTTCATCTCAAACAACTGGTGAGGAGAAGGAGAGGACAAAAGGCCAAAAGTATTACCAGAAACACGACTGGGACCTTGGCCCACTGCTTGAAACTACTGAAGCTAAACTTCCTTGATTCTCATTAGCCAGGGAAAGCCACACAAGGCAACTGGGAGAAAAGGACAAGGGGCCTTTTTAATTGCCCAGGTCACAGGCTCTTGGGCGGAGTGGGGTGTGTGTCAGGGTTCAGAGCATCTTTTCAGCACTGCTAGAGGGGTTAACACATCAACAGAACATCTTTACTACCTGAAAATATTGGAGCAACTTACCTTCTGCACAATTAATCCTAATAGGGTTCAGTGCTCCTTTGAAAGAGGTTTCAGGGGCCGGGACAGGGAGACCTTGGAGAGGAATGACACTTGGATTTACTTCCGTGAACTATTCTCTTTGACAGCCTGGGTGCAAAATGCTCATTGCACATAAGATTTACTCTCTAGGCAGCACTTATTTACAACTACGATGACAGCAACTAGTTCAATTATCGAGAGAATCAAGGAAGTTTTGCCCAGTATGTTTTGCTTGGGCCTGCTGGGGCTGTATAATTTTAAGCACAGCCCGTACCAAAAGCAGCAGTTTGCCATCATCAGGCCCTTAAAACAGCATTGCAGAGACTAAGAATTTGGTATGTCTTAGTACTGTTAGACCTAAAACCAAAAAACTAACAAACAAAAATGCATGGATCTTTAACCTGGTTCCTGCTGTACACTGGGAGAATAATAGCCCACTAACATGTGATGGGCACAATCTGAAAAGCAAGAAGCTCCCAGGACAAAAAAAAGATGGCATCCATGGTCAAGAGGGCAGCCGTCCTTCCAGAGAAAAATCACTGAAACACACAATGAAAACTTCTCCTTTTCCTACAGCAGGACTTACCTGAAATTTGGCATGATCTTCCAAACAACATAGAACAACGACTCAGGGCTGAATGCTGTTTGACTCCCTTGCCACAGAGCACAGAGTGTCTTCCGAAACTCTTCTACCAATGAACTGCAGAAGAAAATATAATGCCTGCTGTTAGGAGAGAATTACACACACAATATGTGACTAACATTTTCAGCAAGTTTGGAAGCAACTTGTCCAGCACAGTGGGGATGCTAGGCAGGTGGTGTGATGCAGAAAGAAGGGGGAAAAGGGGCTAACTTTGCTGTACTTAGAGAAAGTATTTCTCTGAGAGGACATTCTAATGGCACTTTCAGATTTTTGGTTCTTAACTGCTTTCAGAAGTTTTCCCGAAGCCTAAATTTGTGGGTCGCAAAATAAATCAAGACTCCCAGTTTCACCAGGCAGCAACATCACAAACTACATACTTGGTTGTTGTTGTGTGCCTTCAAATTGATTCTAACCTATGGCGACCCTAAGGTGAACTTATCATGGTGTTTTCTTGGTAAAATTTGTTGGGGGGGGGGCTTTCTTTTGCTTCCCTTTGAGGCTGAGAGAGTGTGATGTGCCCAAGGCTACCCAGGGGCTTCCATAGCAAGGCAAGGATTTGAACCCTGGTCTCCACAGCTGCAGTCCAGTGCTCAAACCACTGCACCATGCTGGCTAGTATCAATAACCAAGAATAGAAACAACCAAAGAAGTGAACTTCAATTCAGTTTATATCTGCTGCTACTACATGCATGTCTTCTATTCAGTTCATTATTATGATGTCAGGTGTTTCTGACAAGTTAATCCCTTCCTTTGAGGGTCTTTCTCAGCATGTCACGCTAAGAGCCTAAGTATCCTAAAGGCACCAGATCCCATCTCCTTTGGAAACTAAGCAGGGTCAGCCCTGGTTAGACCTTGGATGGGACACTGCTGACAAATCCCAGGTGCTAAAGGTTCTATTTCAGAGGAAAGAACTGGCAAAACTACCTTTGAGATTCCTTGCCTTAAAAAAAGCCTATAAAATCTATGGGGAGACGATTTGAAGGGGCATACACATATTAAGAACCGCTCTGTGCCAACAACAGACTTGTCACCAATTATAAATATTAAAGACGTCTCTCACTGCTTGCCTACTTATTGTTGGATTAACAGAACACACGGAGGCCTCCCTGCATGTCCCTCACTTCTCACTTACACACTGTTATCCCCTTGGCTTCGGGTGTGGTAGGTCCGCCGGCCTGCAGTCTTTCCATTCCGCAGCTCCACAGCCGGCAGTTCTTTGAAGTAGCAACAGAACTGCTGAATGTTACTGTTGAAAGAAG